GCCGACAAACGCAAAGCCTCAGCAATTTAGGCAAAACGATGGCATACAATGGCCCGTTGTATATGTTCAAAAAAGTTATTAGCCTAATAAAGGGCCATCGTACGGTGTTAACAGGGGAGTAACACGAGAGTGAGTTTTACTAGATGGCACAAGAAGCGCTAGCTTTTCAGAGCAGTGCCCATTATAGTATTTGTAGAAAAAAGGTAACATTACGGTGATGTGACAAAGGATGAAGGTTGGCTGCAAGAGCAGGTCCAACTATGTTTACAATGTGTTTTTGCACCTTGTCAAAAAGAGAAAGGGCATCATTAGAAGATATGGCAACAGTATTCCATACAAGGCCGGATTTGAGATTTATAGAGATAGAGAATAAAATCCAGAGTAAGAAAGTGTCAAGCTTGATAAAGAGATGCAACTTTAGCAGATGTTAATTTTTTAACGGATTTGATATAAGGTTTCCAAGAAAGATCCGAAGTAAGAGTTCATCCTAGAAGATGAAGGGTAGATAACTCATCGAGGACTTTACCAGTCATAAGTATAGGAAGGTCTAAATTATTGCAATAACAATTGACTTGAAAAATTGAGTTTTATCTGAATTAAAGTTCACCAGCCAATGTGAGCCCCATGCTGTAGCAGAAGTGAGATCGTTTTCAAGCTCAAATGCCCCCTTGCAAGCAATCAGAGGTAGTTGGCTTCTTATCGTGACAAGAATAAATGGTAGTATCATCGGGGAACAATTCCACCTTAGATGTGAGAATATCTGGAAGATCTTTAATGTAAATTAAAAAGAGTATAGGGCCAAGGATTTAACCTTGAGGAACCCCTGAGGTTTTTTTTTTTTTTTTTATTTTTATTTTAATTCACCTCCTCAAGGCCAAGAAAACCACTACAGACGAGGAGGCTACTTATTTATGGCTATAACTCTTTCTCAACTCTATAACTCCGAAACACGAACCTTGATGAACAAGGCCACTGAGCGGAGAAACGAGTTGAGGTTACAGAATAAGAAGAAGACTGCTGTTCATCAAGGACAACTTTTATACTACGATTGGAAAAGAAGGATTCAATAATCTTAAAGATGTTTCTAGATACACCTTAAGAAGAAAGCTTATGGAGAAGACCAGCATGCCAAACTTTATCAAAAGCTTTAGAAATGTCAAGAGCGATGGTCTTAATCTCTTTTATCTAATGCGCGATAAAACTTTCGGTTATTACTGTTAGCAAATCAGCCGTAGAACTAGAAGATCGAAATCCATATTGATGATCAGAAAGTAAGTTGTTAGATTCAAGATGAGAGATTAAGTGTTTGTTAATTAAAGGTTCAAAAACCTTGCTTATGATAGGAAGAAGACTAATGGGACGGTAGTTTGACGAATTAGATCGCTTTCCAGACTTTTTCAAAATGGGCATAACAGATGCTGCTTTCCAGCAGGCTGGAAAACAAGACTCTGATGAGCACTTGTTAAATAGTTTTGAAAATATAGACAACAGCCCTGGAGAACAGTTCTGAAAGACAGTAAGAGGTATGTTGTCCGGGCCACAAGCTGTAGAAGAGTCTAAGAAGGAAATCACTTTAGATACAGAAGCTAGAGTGATTTGAATGTTAAGCAATGGATCAACCTGCTTGACGGCTATATTAGGTAAAATACAACTAGTAAAATCAAGAGATGATATTGATGAAAAGTTCTTAGGAAACAATTCAGCTTTGTCTTTAGGTGAGGTGACAAAGTCTGAACTATACAAAAGAGTTGGAATTCCAGACTTGCCCTTATTATTGATACTATTAAAGATTCTCCAAAAGTCGCGTGAGCCTAATTTTTGTGATGAAATACGAGAGTAAGACAAAACCTTTTTACAATGGTTCCTAGCAGTAATAAACAGACGTCTGTTTTCTGGAGAATTGTTTTGCTGATAGATATGGAAGTAATGGTTTCGATTGGCAATTGCAGCAGCACAATGTGAGGAAAAACATGGAGAAGAGTGACGATTGACCAGAAATTGTCGAGAGGGAATAATGGATTTCATGCCAGCCTGAATCCATGAAGCTATGTAAGAAGCACACTTTTTAATAGGAGGACGAAAGATTTCTGCCCAAGGGCCATCGCGAAGAAAATCACGGAAAGAGTCCCAGTCAACTTTAAGGTAGTTGTAAGATGTACGATGATTGGGGGATTTTGATGATAAAGAAGAATGAGATAATAGTTTTAGTGAGATCAAACCATGATCGGAAGCACCTAACGGTGAGTGTGGAGAAACTGAGCACTGGCTAGGATCAGAAACAAGACATAAGTCGAGTAGAAAAGGTAAATGATTCGGGTTGTCTGAAAAGCGAGTTGGAAAGTTGAATATTTGAGTTAGGGATTGAGAAAGGCAAAACCTGTGGGCTTTAATGCCTGCATAGTCACTGACACTAAAGCCAAGCCATTCGGTGTGATGAGCATTAAAGTCACCGACAACAACAATATTGGCTGATGGATATAGGCTTGGTCAATATGATCAGAAATAACATCAAGAAGAGTGCAGTCTTGAGATGAAGGAGAGCGATATAGAACAAAGAGAAAGGTGATAGAGTGAAGTGGTGCTAAACAAAGGCACATAAAAGAGTAATTTGTGCATTTAAACTTAGTTTCCCGACAAATGGGTGAATTCTTACGAATGTAAATGCCCAGGCCAAGCATGTTACAATTGGAGTCTTTACAAACTAAAGGGAGATAACCATCAACACTAAGGTCACAAGATGAGACAGCTGAACTCAAATTAGTCCCACAAAGAGCACGTAGGTGTGGTGAATTTTGCAAGAGATCAGACTCAACAGAAGAAAAGTTACTTCAAAGACCACTAATAATAATGAATGATAGGTTGAGCAAACTTGGTGATGACTGGTTTTTTGTGTTTTATAACTTTTGTTACTTTATTCATTTTTAAATTTGTTAAAGTACTTGATTCGAAACATAGATAGTACTCAGTACACTGTCTTATAGTCCAAGCAAGCAGCAGGATAAACCTGACCTGACAATAAATAATATGAATGTGTAGAAGGTGATGTAGGTCTTTTTGCAGCTCCTTGCTTTTCACAATTATTATACAAAAAGTGAATTTAAGTAAATATATTTTTAAAATCTTAGTTTATGTATTATGATTTATATATTCTTAATCTTGAATAATAACATTTTTTAGTGTTTAATAATGTTAAAAATAGTAAAAAACATTTTTTATTCTACTTTTAAAAAAAATACAATAAATTTAAAAATACGGAACATTTAAAGACCACTTCAAAAAAAAGCTGGACTAATAAAAAAAAACACGGGGCTGTTAAGGGGTTAAAAAAAAACCTACCTGGAAAAACCCCGCCCGAAATAATCCCCTGAGGAAAATCTCCCTGAAAAAAAATCCCCCAAGAAAAAAAAAAACCCAAAACTTGCTTGGTTTCAAATCAAAAAAAATATATATTAGAGCTTTTTGTCAAGTATTTATCTAAAGCCAAATAAGTTGCAGCATTAACAAGAATAGAGAATTGCATTTTTCATATTTTGCATATTATAGTTTTATGGTTTGATTAAGGTACAAAAAGTTAGTTTTTTGATGAATAGTTACCGTAGTACATTCTTACAAGTTTAATTAAGTTACTTTAAAACCCTGTTCTTGAATAAATTGAATGATCTTTAAAAAGTTGTTGGTACGTTTTAAAGATTTTATAAATCCACAAGCGAAATAGTTTTTAAAACATCAACTTATATTTTAAGTTCGACTTTCAATTTTCATTACAAACTTGCGTTAATATATTGCAATTTGGAAAAGAACACATACTGAAACTTTTTAGTCCCTGTGTTTTTAGTCCCTATTTCAACTTATTGCACATCCTAACATCAAGTGCAATCCTTTCCGCTTTCTCTATGCTGTCTTTCTAACACGACTACTTCTGTCTTTCACTCTAACATTTCTTCGTTCTTCCGAAACTCACTTTACTCTCGGTCCGTAGAGCGGGTTATGACGCTCCTTGGGGAGCCGAACCTGTCTTTGCGGTACCTTGGTAATGTGGCCTCTCTATGGCAACTAGCCGGAGGAGGATAAACCACAATACCATATATTGCGATTTGGTAAGTTCGGCTATTTAGTGCATTTGTTTTGTTTGTTCTTCTTATGATAATTTTGTTTTTTAAAGTGTTTTTTTAGTTACGTATCGGGCAAACTGATAAGATTTAATAATTCGATAGATAAAAGAGTGAAAGAATAAATATGACTTTTTCATGCAATCAAAGTGTGGCCTTAGTTCTTGTTTAGTGTGTTTTTAGTGGGATAAACATAAAAAGCCACATATGAAACGCACCAACGCTATCCCATAAAAGAGAGTGGTAAATATATGGCTTACATGTGCTTCCCACACGTGGGCCACATAAAACTTTCAGGCAAATGAAGCGTGGCGTTCGTTCTTATTTAGTGTGGTTTGAGTGGAATAAACATTATAGCCACATATGGGGCATATCAAAGCCATCCTATAACGGAGAGTGGTAAATATATGGCTAACATGTGCTTCCAACATGGGCCACATGAAACTTTCGCGCACAAATAAACCACACTAAAATAAGAACAAAAGCGTGGCTTTTGTTCTTATTTAGTGTGGTTTTTGTGGGATAAACATTATAGCCGCATATGGGACGCATCAACACCATAAAGGAGAGTGATAAGCATATGGTTAGCATAATCAAAAAATTCATTTTCAAAAAATAATAATAAATTTCATTTGCAGTCATAAAAAAGACTGCTTTATTACCAAATACAAATATATTTTTTTATTTGTTTATTTTTATAGTTGTATTGTATATATTATATTCTTTTTGAATAATTGTTTTTCAAGTTAAAAATAATTTTCAACTTTTTTCCTTTTTTTTTTAAATTTAAAATAGCCTTTAAAACCGTTTTACGACCTTTTAAATTTAAATGTAAATACTGATACTGTATTTAGAAATCTTTCTTAATGAATCTTTTAAATATTTTTTTAGGAATTCAATGTCTCTGAAGTTAATACAGGTAAAATTTTGGTTTAAAGTTGACACTGTTTTGTTTTAATATTAAAGCAAGCAAGGCTTCTTAGCTGCAATGAAACTAGATTACCTAAGAAAACTCAAATAAAATATCTACTTTACTTTTGAGCAAAAATTGAAGTAACTTGTAAATCTGCTGAACTTTCTAGTGAATGTATCAATAGTTTGTAAACCTTCTATGCTGAACTTCCTACTGATTGCATCAATACAAACACTAAGTTCTGATCTAAAAAACATAATAAAACCAGGAAAGTCATTCAGCAGTAGCTACAGCTTCATTAGCTTCTATATTGTCATATTCAAATAAAAAAATGACATTATGAAAACTTATCCAAACAATGCTAGTGTGGAAGACGTTAATCTTTAACAAAATATCACAACTCTTAAGCCTCACAGTTGTAACCTTGTTAGGCACAGTTTTAATTTTGTTTGAACATGTGTTCTGTGTGTCTCAGTTAATTTATTTTAATAGTTTATATATAAGAATTTTCTTTAAGTTTTTTTCTTTTTATTTTTTTTAATTCTAAATTTTATAGTTATGTTTTTAAAAATTTTTTAAAGCAAAATCGGTTGGTGCTATTTCATCTGCTATGTTCGGAGGTAGAATTGCTAGCAGGTAAAAATTTTGTTTTTGATTAGAAGTTTTTTATTGTGGGTTATGTTATATAACCAGAAATAAGTTATTTATTTTATGAATTTGTTTTTAAAAAAACTTATTTTGATAGTTATTAGATCATTTTTAATTTTATCATGGGTTTGAATTTCAAATGTGATATTGTATGTAGTGAATATATTTTCATTAAGTAATATTTGAACTTGTCGCTTATGATAGGTTAGGTTATTAATTTAGGTTGACCTAACAAGATAATATGGTTTGGATTTTCAAGTCAAAATTATAATACTTTAATTTTTAAATTAATTTTAGTTTTATTTATTTCATATTTGTTAAAATGAACACAAAATTGTGTTAGGTCATGCGTATGGTTATTTCATTTTCATGGCTGTTTTGTAGGATTTACTTTCTAATCAAAGGCTAAGAGAGGTGTACTTCCTATTATTAATGCAATCTAAAATTCTTTTTATGTTTTTAGTATTATTCATTTTTGTCTGTTATATAGTTAAAGGTGTCTTGTCACTGTGTTAGCTCACTCGTAATTTACTATATATGCATGTTTGTGTTCTGTCTGAACCTCAGGTCAGATTTAGGATCATCAGGATTACCCTGCTATTGGTAACATATAACCTAGTACTACCAGTCCCTTGTCCTATTGCTATGTAGGGTTTGCTTTTCTAGGCAAAGGCTCTGAGAAATATAGTCTAATATAAATTCACCCTGCCTTGGGCTCTTGGTTGATTAAAGGTCAGAAATGGTATCTCAATAAAAATAATTATCTTTGGCAAATGTTAACTGCCACCATGTTGTACATAGATGGTATATCTGTCAATCCTTTTAGCGTGCGTTGCTGAGGCCACTTAAGGAGTCTTAAGTTATTTATTTAACTAATTACTGAGATTGAGGTAACTGCATAGCTTGTTATTTGTCATGCTCTATAAAATATGATCAAAAATATTGAAAAAAAAGGGCTCAGACAATTTTTTCAAGTTTCTGAAAAAAGTTGGCTGAGCTCTTTCTTTTTATTTCCCTGCCTATATTGTTGTTATTGGCGACTAAAATGCTCATTACACTAAAAGCCTTGTTTTAAAAACCAATAACACTGCTAGCTCTGAAGCTCAAAAAATTTTTAATCTCTTACTCAAGATTTATGCAACTCATTTTTTAGGCAACCCAAGTCACTTACCTTCAGTTCTTGATTTGTGATTTAAATTTATTTGTTGTTCCAGCTTTTAAAATATCTTGGAGAACACTCTAATTATAGTCTGATCTATCTACCAGATATAATTTTAAATATATTTTATAATTGCTCTTAAATAAAGTTCTCAATATATATATATATATATATATATATATATATATATATATATATATATATATATATATATATATATATATATATATATATATATATATATATATATATATATATATATATATATATATATATATATATAAAGCGGTTAACAAAGTTTTGCATTTAAAAAGCACCATAGAGAACGGTTGAGAGCAAAAGGTGACTATCCCTCAATGAATGTAAGAGTGTATCTAAAGCCCAAGATTAATTTCAAAACTGTACGTTATTATAAAATGATCTTAATTTTCCAATGGTACACAAATCCACTGGTTTTAAGTTATTCGAAACAAAGTTAGGTCCATGAAATTAGTTAAAAATTTCTCATGGAAAAGTGATTTTAAATTGTAATGTTTTTATTTTTTTTGTATTTCAATATAAATAAAAGTTCAATTGTAAGTTTTTTACATCTTGATAGTTAATTTGAACATAGTTGTTACATAACATATTAAAAGTACCCGTTGTCATACTTTTGTAATATATGTTATTATTTCAACCAAAAACAAAAATCTCTGTGCGAATACGTATTTGTGCTTGCGTATATCTTCAGGAGAGTGCTTCATGAATTTAAGTAAATTAAAATAAAATAAGTTAAAACAGTGTTGTATTTATCTACTTTTTGTAAAGAAAATTAAATAGTTTTTACAACTATAAGTTTTATACTAAATGTAATTATCAGGAAAATTTTTCTTGTTTAACAATTCTTTGGGATTTTTAAGCAATAAAATTATTAGTTTTAAAAAGATTAGGTTTTTCTAACACATTTTTCTGTTGTAAAGAATTAATTTTTCCACAAAAAAAAAATCGTATTTTTTTTATCAAATAATTGCATTTAGCATAAAACTTATAGTTGTAAAAATTAAATAGTTTTTTTTTAATAATGTATGTATATTATAAATAAAATATATATTTTTAGCATTATTTGGGGATATATATGCGACAAAGTTGGAAAAAGAGTTTCTTTAATATTAGCTACTACTTTCTTGGCAGTATCAACATTGTTTTTTGGTTTTAGTTTCAATGTAACATGGACTATAATTGCACGATCTCTTCAGGGATTAGCTATGGGTATAATATATTCACCTCGTTTATTGATTAAATTTAGTATAAACTTTTGTTAAATAATTTTTTAAAGGATAATACAATTTAGTTAATTTGATTGTGAAAATATTTAAATGTTTAACATTTAAAATTAAATAACCAAAAAGATCACTTGTTGTTTTACTTGAAATATATTATGTAATACATATGTTTTGAAATATGTTTACTTTATAGTAAAAAATTTATTGGAAGCAAGATGTGTTCAATTTCATTACAGTTTGACTTTTTTTAAAAAAATGATACTTTAAAGTTAAAAAAGTTATTTAAAAATAACAGTTTCCTGTGTAATTTTTTTTTTTTTTCATTATTGTTATTATTTTATTTGAATTTATAATAATAACTTTATTGGCTAAAATTTTTTATTGAAATGTAATGTCACAAAAATAAGGTGTTTAAGTTTTAACTTATAGTAACAGAAGACTTTGAAATCTGGGGAGAAAAAGTCGAAGTGATTTAAAATGTTATTTTGGTTTTTATTGCTTTAGTTGCTATGTATTATCTGTTGCTTTAGTTTACAATAAATAATGTGTTATAAATAAATAAGCTTAAGTGTATTTCTACAAGGTATATGGTTTAATCCTGACATTGTAGAAAAAAAGATATAAGCTGTCTGCACCACTATTTTTTGTTTAACTTAATTTAACTTTATTCAATTTTGTTTATTTATCTATTCATTTTATATTTTCCTTATTTTGTTTTAGGTTTAATTGTAATAACAAAAGCTATTATATCAGATGTTGCCGATAACTCAAATCTTGCCGCAGGACTAAGTTTTATTTTTTCTGCAAGCAATATTGGATATGTAGTTGGTCCTAGTATGTCAGGTAGGAAATTTTTTTCCTTTTGAACATTGAGTCAATGATATAATTTTCTGAAGAACTGCATTTATTAAAAATATATAGAGAATCAAATCTTGCCTTTGATTGTTTACAAATTTTTGTTTGCTCCTTCTTACTGATCTGGTTAGTGCTTATGTGAGTAAAATAATTTTGATTCAAATTTGTGTTCCTTTTTAAAATACTTTTTTAAATGCCATTGATCTATCAATAGATACACATTTTTTGCAAGTTACTTTTTTTTTCCTCTCTTTTTTCTGATATTACTTAAATATACCTAATGTATAATAAAATGTATGTATAAAAATAAAATGTAATTTATAAAAAATAAAAAAATACAGAACAGTTATTGCCTTTATATGCACAATAAGTATTTGTTTTAAAAAACATATTTATATTTGTTATTATAAATTATATCTTTGCATCAAATTAAGCAGTCAGCAGAAGATCAACGTTTTTTAATAACATGTTTCAAAAAACATATTTTTTTCAAGATGACTTTTTTAACTTCACATGTTACAATTTATTTTGCATTTTTTCTATTTTTAGCTTACAACCATGCTTTGTATTTCTTCTGAATTAACATTATCTGCAATATTATTATATCAAGGGTTTTTTCTCGTTTTTTTTTTTTTAAATTTAATTTTACTAAAAGTTATAAAAAATTTAAAAGTTACTTTTTTTTTGTAATTGAATTTGTTATGAATTTGTAATTGAATTTGCTATTGCAATTTTTTTTCTGATGAGCTTTCTGTTTAAGACAAACTCCAAATTTGCAGTTCCTGTCAATCTTGATGACTCTAGCTGTCAAGCTTAAGCCTTTTTCTCATTGTCAAAAAACTGTAATTTTTTTACACTACAAGGGTTGTTGCGTCAAGCTATAACTATAAAAAATAAATTAAATATTAAACCATTTTAATATTATTATTTAGTATATCTGAGTTTAATTTCATTTTTTAAGATAACTGGTTTTAATTTTAAAATTTTTAGGATATCTGGTTTTCCCTGTAGAAAAGTATCCAAACGTGTTTAAAAAAGGTGCTTCTAGTTTGCTATTAGTTATGTAACTTTTAATTTTTTTGTTTTAAAATAAAAAGTATTAGTTGTAAAGCAGAAAAATTTTTATGTAAAAAAAATAATAAATAAAATGTTAACTATGTAAAAAAAGTTATTAAAACTATACATCTGTAAATGTATAATAAGTTCATATATATATATATATATATATATATATATATATATATATATATATATATATATATATATATATATATATATATATATATATATATATATATATATATATATATATATATATACATACATACATACATATATATATATATATATATATATATATATATATATATATATATATATATATATATATATATATATATATATATACGTATATATATACAAATATATATATGTATATATATACAAATATATATATGTATATATATATATATATATATATATATATATACATACATATATATATGTATATATATATATATATATATATATATATATATACATATATATATATACAAATATATATATATAAACATACAAATATATATATATATATATACATATATATATATATATATATATATATATATATATATATATATATATATATATATATATATATATATATATATATATATATATATATATATATATATATATATAATATATATATATAGTATATATATACAAATATATATATA